ATACTCTCCTATTGGCAAAGCCAATTAACAAACACAGATTGCCTAGAATACCTACTCCTGCTCTTTAAAATCCATCTGTCCTTTGTTTCAACAAAATTGAGTTCAGATTTAGTACTGGCTTCTCTCCCTTGCTGTTACAGCTTTGTTCAATTTTGTCCAGAGCAATCTTTGCTCTGACAAACACTGATACCCAGTCAGTTTGGAGAACCATGATTTTACCAGACAACAAATGGTAGAGTAACACTGTGACCAGTAGTTACCTGAGCATCAGATGAACAAGACTAAGACACAAGACAAACATTAAAGTACAGCTGTGGCACAAGGGAGGAAAGGGGTCGGGGATATGGACAGGAAACTGATTCCATGTTGCATTCTGGGACTTAGGCAGATGGGTGGGGAGGAGGATTCAAGAAATTAGAGAACTTTATGGAAATAAAAGAAAAACACAGCAGATGTAAGTGCCAAGCAAAGTTGGTACCAATGAATTTAAATAGCAAGAAGCATAGCGACCATCCTCAGGAATGGGCCAGCACAGAGCTTGTGACTCACCACTGGGAGCCATTGCTGGGTTTCACTATCCCAAGCATGAAAGCACTTTCCTAAGATGGCCACCACTTTTTGTGGCCATCTCGAGGCACCTCTGCAGCATAGGCTCACATACACTGGATAGGCTGTGTACACACACCCTAGCACATACACACCCACTAATACATCATGAACAAGCACTTTGGTGTACAGATGTTGATTTTTTTTCCACCCAACAGTGTTAAGCACATCCTTACTCACTTGGAAGCATGTTCCTTAGAAATCCTGGCAGAACGTGCAAGGCCCAAGTAGAACTCCTGGCCCTTCCCTTTACTATTAAAACCCCTTCTATGAGTTTAGAAAATGTCTCTTTGTCCTTCTTAATTGTAGGATAAATGTAGGAATTAAAGGTTTTGTTGTTGGGGTTTTTGTGAGTGGTTAGGCTCAGAGGAACAGCATTTTATACCTTTGTTGTAAAACAGGAAACATCTCTTTTCTCAAACTGACATTGGCACCCACAGTGACTCATGTGCGGGCAGGTTCTGCCATCCAGAGAAAGTACAGCTACTTCCAGGCAGGGAAGGGAGGAGGGCAGGGTGTGTCAGACCCAAGCAAGGTCAGGCTGAGCTATACAGGATGTCGGAGGAGCAAAAGTAGGCAGATGAGGAGGTGCAGGCCGGCTCATGAGTCCTGAGGGTTGAAACTGAGGAAGTAAAGCCCTTTCAACAGCGAAATGGAGCATCTCAGGCCAGATCAGATTATGCCCAACCCACCAAACACAAGGAGCACCACTGGAACTGGGTGATGAAAGAGGGTGGTGATAGCTGCCACAATCACCCAAGACTTTATCTTGTTAAAGATAACAATGCCACCGGATCTACTTGGAGTCCATACCTCATATGCGTTCAACAAAATTCCAGGAGAAAAGGAGCTTGCTGATTCCCCACCACTACCCCAGGATGGAGGCAAGTACAAACACACATACACACATGGTGATATCCTTGGTGTGTTTCAGCATGTCAGCCACTGCCTTGAGATGTCCATAAATTGCTCCCAAATAATTCAGGTGGTATGGGAGCACTAATAATGAAGTCTTACCTATACTGTCCCACTACCCTCACAAAACAGGACTAAGGTATACAAAAGAAATTTCTGTGGCCGAATAATTTCCATTAGGAATAAAAGATCTTGCATCAAAATGTGGTTGGTCTTGGATCATGGAGATGGCTCAGTGCATAAAGTGCTTAGTGAGAAAGGATAAGGACCCGAGTTCAAATCCTCGGTACTCACATAAAAGTTGGGCCCTTGGTTACCCGTAGGCCCCATGCTGTGTGGCTCAGCCAGTAGATTCTCCACACGCTTGCCTGGTCAGTCAGTCTAGCCCAAACCATGAACTTAGATCAACCAATGAGAGACCCTGCCTCAAATATATGGTGGAGAACTAAAGGGATAATACCTAAAGTTGACCTCTGGCCTCCAAAAGCCCAGACATAAAATAATTAAAAACTAAAATTCAATCAATTAAAATGTGGTCTTAATAGACAGTAGAAGGTGATTTACACACAGAAATTATCAATGTATAATCAGCCTCCCTCTGCTCTCCTTGGCCTCTTAGCCTCAGGATGCTGATCGGCCTGGATGCCTCAAATGCTCACCACTCATATAAGCAATTCTGCCTGTCTTTCCTCAATTACGGGCTGCAAAGCATTGAGCTCACTGTGGCCTGGTCCTAATAGATCTCAATCTAAGCCATCTCCCGCACCTGGAGACAAGTAGCATTCAACTCCTCGTGTTACTAAAACAAACTATTGTTCTTCAGCCAAGGAAGGAGAAAGTAGGAATAAAAAATATAAAACAATGTTCTTGGGTCAGCCTTTCAAACCTGTGAACAGGAGATTCATATGTCCTATTGAAAACAGTGTTAATCACTACAGGAATGGAAAGCAGTATCCTACTTTAGACTATGCACGGTGTTGTCTATGAACACAGCATTGTGCCAGAGTCTTTTACAAACACTGTGTGCTTGCTTTCATTAAGTCAGAGCCATAGTAGGGAAAACAAACTTGTAAAGCTGCCTATATTGGTGGGTGTCGAAGCATCCTCTCAATTAGCCTAAAGGCTTGATGGATTTCATCACTGTATATACTATGTCACCGGCCATTGTTTGGCCCTAAGAATGAGCATGAATTTATGAATTACACATACAATTAAAAAGGTAAGTTAAGAGGGATATTGCATTCTTTTTTAAAAAGCCGGATACCAAAATATATATTCTTTAGTTTCATAAGTGTGAAATCAAGAAGAGGCTATCTACTTTTAAACAAACCCAGACATCTATTACCTTTGAGTTGCAGATGGAAGAGGCTGTGAGGACATATTCTTAGATGCTAAAAACATTTACTATCCCTAAGCTATCCAGGTTGCTAGCAGGTATTTACCAATGTGAAAGAAAAATCCATCAAACTGTATATGTAAGATGTACATATTTTAGTGCATGTAAATTGTACCTCAAGTAAAAATTAAGTAGAAAAAATGTACACTTTCCAAAATGAAAAACAAAAGACCTGTAGACTAAGAACACTGCCCATGGTCTAAGACCATGGATAGTCCAATAAACTAATGCATTATATACTCAAGTTTCAGTGTGAGGTCCTTCTGTACTTGGAGGCCAAGTTCAGCTATGATTCCAACATGACTTCTGAAATAGCTTAATGATTATGGTTAATACACCCATGAGCATATGTCCATACATGTGTCACATGTGTTTTTTCATTGTTGGCTATGAAACTGTCACCTGTCCTGGGGACATCAGTCTCTGCAGACTTAACCTCAAAGCTATTAGAATGTTTTATTCCAAAAGCTTCAGACATGTTCAGAATATTGATAAAAATATGTCCCTTTTCTGGCTCTACAAGGCTTGCCTAGTGACCCCTCTCATATGTCAGCCAAATTTTCCATGCCCTGGACAACGGTTTTCTTCATCTATGCAGTTCCAAAAAAGGGTGACCTGTAAGAGTGGACATGAGGCAGCTAGGCTATCTCAATATTCACCAGCCTATCTCCTCTCTACCTTTCCCTCTGCCTTTATTTGACTGGGGTTACATTATCTCTCACTCATTAGACAGCTGTATTTCCTATTTGCCTCACCTCTCTTTCCTCCATTACCAGAGACCCCACCAGCCTTGACCTTTTTAGTGGTTGTATGCCAACCTTGTGATCAAGCTCAAACCACTCTACTCAGTAAATGCAACTGTTTTCTGCCATCCCACACCCACGGCACTTCTTGCATGCATTCTGTTTCATCCAGTATTGTTCCATGGCACATGGCTACAACTGACATTTCAGGTGGGACAATTCTTCATTGTGCAGAAGTATTCTGTGCATTCCAGTAGGTTTAGCATTGCTGGCTCCTGCCCACTGAATGCCTGTGGTACCCACCTTCAGATATTGTGACAACTAAAACATGCCCCAGATTTTTCCAAACACTCTGAGCTGCCCCCTTTGCTACTGACTACCTCCTACTGGTCCTTCATACCTCACCTCGAGCACTGGGCTAAGCCACAAGAGATTTAATATGGCTAACCTAAATATTCTGTTCTCCTGGAAGCCTTCCCTAATGATGTACAAGTATACCCCATGACTGCCTATATTAAAGTGCTCACCACCAGGCATTGCAATAACCAGGCTACTTGTCATCCCTTCCTCTTACCACATGATTGAACCCTAATTAACTATGAGCACATTACCAACTCTTACATCATTTTGTCTCTCTAGCACTTGTGTTTGGCACATAAGGAGACTAACCCTGGGCTGGCTCAACCAATGAACAGGATGTTATGCATACTTTCCCTGATGACTCAAGGTTACTATTCTTGGGCATGGAGATGTCTTCAGGGCATATAGAGGCATTATTCTTTTTAGGTTGTCATTAAAAGACCCACCTCTGGACTACATCATTAGGGTGTATGTGTGTGTGTGTGTGTGTGTGTGTGTGTGTGTGAGAGAGAGAGAGAGAGAGAGAGAGAGAGAGTCAGAGAGTCAGAGAGTCAAAGAGAGAGAAAGAGAACTTTGCTTTATTGCATCAGCATGACTGTCTCCAGTGGTCCTTGGTGCTCTTTAGAAACAGAGGCAGACCATCTGGAGGGCTATGGGGCACACTGGTGAGCCTTCAGAATGATGCCATGAGTCTACTTATTTATGTTAAAATGTTCATATCAATAAACACTGTATTATGCATCTCAAATATAGAACTATTCTGATTTTGGAGGGATGACTTCCAATTACAAAAGTGCAATCTTTCTGTTGTAATTCAGGTAGTTTAAGGCCAGGCCATGAGGAACAGAAGCAAAGCAGAAAGCTAGGCAAAATTAAATGAAAATACATTTTTCTTCAGAAAATAAAATATTCATGTGTGTTGTACCATTAAATATCCTTAATATACACCTGAATGAATAATACGGGACTCCATCAACAAATAACCTTTCAGTCTTTTTATTTTCAATATATTTATAATTCTTTCCTCCTTTATAAGGTAATTGCATCCATTTAAGAGAGAATTAAATACACAGAAAAAAATTAAATAAAAATTACAATAGCTTATTGGCTACAAGAAGATCCTCATAGTCTTTTTCCTTAAACATAATATTATACCTTACACTAAGCCCTACCATTGCTTGTGGGAAATTAACATTAAATAGCTAAACATAGAAAATCCAGATCCATAAATAACATAAAATACAACTTAACTCTAACATGAGCTTAAACAAGATACACTGTGATGCAATATGAATCAACTTCATCCATTGGACAAATCCAGTGAGACACAAATCAGGTCTGTGCAATGACATGCAGGTGAAGCCTCCAACCCCAGCTTGTGAGCATTTTGTCTTTGGGCTATGTCCAATTCCATTCCAGAAAAGCATCCGATTTTTACATCTTCTTAAATCTTTGGCTATAATAGAAAAGGAAAATGTAAATTGTAAATAGAGGAATGGATGGCAGGAGAGGCTTTGGTATCTAAAAGTTACTTCACACACCTTCACTCTCATCTCAATATGAACAACAACAGAGTCCATATGAGGAATTTGAGTCTGAGAAAGGATGGCCTTGCTCAATATAACTAAGCCAGTTAATGACAAGAACAGGGTATGAACACTTATCTAGGATTTCTAAGTTCAATATATTTGGTGCAACAGTGTTAGCTGCCATTTATTGATTAAATGCTACATTAATGATGTAAACCAGGATCACTGGTCTGTTTCTAACTACGCTTATTTTTCATGGTCCAGAAACCAACCAACCATCAGAAAGTCTATAAATTATATAAAGAGGAAACATCTTTGCAATGATAATCAAGTAGCCAATGACTATCAGATGCTCAGGGAAACCTAATATTACATGATCTCAGAAAAGTCATTAAGTTAAAATAATTACAAACACAATGGTGTTGACATATAAGTGCAAAATGCATTCTGTGCTTGCATGGTCTAACTCAGATTCCCCCTTCTAAAATCCAATGTCTCTAGACTGAAGACCTCCTTCAGCCCACCCTCTGCACCCTTCTTTCCCAATCATTTGGGTATACTGCTTGTCCTTCAGTGATCCATACCTGAGGTGACGCAAGGCCCTTTTCACCCAGTCCTTCTTTGGATCAGCACACACGGATAACTTCCTTTTTGTGTGAAAACTGAAAATCAAACATAAAAAATTTTATATGCATTCAGTAACCATTTAAATGTGTTTGTTTTTCATGGAACATGTAGGGAAGTTCCACATGATAGTTTATTGTTCCATAGACTAAGCATTTGGCTACAGAGATGAGAGGAAAGGGGAATGGGTACAGTAAATCCTGATAGAAGGAATCGAAGAGGCTTCTCTAGACTCTCCCTAGGAGGTAACCGATGACTATAAAATTGCAGAAGATATAACCCCAGACTTGTCATTCAATGTTGCTGCCAGTGGAGGTTTGTAATATGTATGTATGTATGTGGTTAGTAACTTTTATTGTTCCAAAATATAGCACCATAAATGAACCATGAATATTTTAAGTGATATTATTCTTAGCCCCATTTTCCAGTAGAAAATGCTGAATTCAAAGGTGTCTTCTATGCATCACATTCAACAAGTTTATTCTAGAAATTGACTTCTGACCTGTGTGATGTTTTCAAAAACTAAAAGCTGAATCTCGGACTTATTTTGGTCCCACTTAAGTTTGGAAGTACATATGAAATAAAGCTATTTTGCTCCAAGTATTATGTCTGAATAAAATTCCAATAAGTTAAAAAAAGTTTCTGAAATTTCCATGTATTCCTGACATAGTGGAATTAAAGTTGATGAATAGCTTACATGATAGCATCAATGTCACAAGCTTCATCGGCCAGCTGTTCTGTGAAACCCACAATGGCTCTGGGTGGGATAGTGGTCTTTGTGTACCGAAGGCAGCAGTCAAAGTTGCTTGCTGCTAAAAGAAAAATTAAAAGTTATTGAGCCCACAGGAATGAGTTTTCTTGTCTTTGGAACCTTGTTGAGGGACTTTGAGGTCTAGTTTAACATAGTTCCCAGATATTATCTTTTAAAAATAGTATTCTCTTAAGTTTTGGTTCAACTAACACAGTATACAAGCCCAGGCCATCTTTAATAAGAAACTCAAATATTTTCATTGCAGTTTCTCACAATCACTCAAGAATATAGGTAGTTGTCCCCACCACTATCCTTTAACAGTAAAAGACCTTTCTGGAGAAGCATTTCATAGTCAGAATATGGCAGGAGGGGGAGTCAAATGTCAATCTATCCTCTGGCTGCTGGGTAGGCAGCAGTGAAATTACAAAGACAATACAATTTTCTGGGAACTACAGAAAAAAATTACAGAGGAAAATGTAGCCATCAGGAGTTGTGCCTGAAGCACTCTAAAACTGTTGTATTGGCTGGTGGAATTTAAATCCCATTCATGAATTCACCACGTGTTCTCAGGCATGCACCTGTCGCAGATGGTGATATAATAAAGCAATACTCAGGCACTCATCAGAGTTAAAGTGTAACCTGCTGTAAGGTACTGGATAAATGTTATCTCAGAGCTGGAGAACAATGTCCTCCAGGTCCAGGCCTCATGGGGACACGGAGGTCAAGTGTCACAGTCTGAACCTTAAAGGGAAATTATGGACTTAGATACTAACATTACTTAGTTGGGAGGTTTAAAAAAAAAAAGTCTGGAAGTGAAATGTTCTCCACATTTCTGAATGACCATATAGCCTGAGAATGTCACACTCAGAACATCACTCCCAGAAAAGGTACTTGAGCACTGTCCTGAAGTTGAAGTGTCTCTGAAAGCCATTCACTCTCCGAATCTGCTAGCATTGACAGTAGAGAAGATCCCTAATTGCTAGCTAGCATCCACTCATTCCTCCTCCTTTTGCCCATTAGCCAACCAGTTCCTCTTACACACATTTTAGCAAGCTGCTGTCCACAGAGCACCCCGAGATAAAGCCTAGGGAGCAGGAAAGCTTTTGTCCTGCCTGTTCCCAGCAGAAGGGTCCACACTTACCTTCTGACTGGCTACAGAAGTGAACTAGCAGCACACATGCCGAAAGAAGGAAGAGCAGGCTCTTGCCTCTGCAGAACATTCTCAGCTCCAGGAGTGATCTGCTCAGGGCAGCTGCTCTGTGTCGGGTACCCAGTGTCCTGTGAGTGTTCTTCTGCTCCAGCAGCAGCCCTACTTATAGCAAAACATTGGGAATGTACACAAGAAGGCGTGTTCTCATTCGGGATTTTCCCCCATTGATTAATCTGCCTCCTCCTGTCATCACAAAAAAAACTCACAGGGAAAACTTCCTGCCTTTCCCTCATGTTGGGAAGGTGTGAAGGTCAGGTGGGGGCTGGGGAGGGAAGGGGAGAGGAGGGAGGGGAGAATCATGTTAATTCCTCTCCATGTAGAAAGAAGAAAGGCAGCTCAGACTAGTGGCCCAGAAATGGCATCTATCCAGGTTTAACTTAATCTCTCTCTCTCTTTCTTTTTTTTTCTCTCTCTCTGAAAGAGAGGAACAGCCTCTGAATGGGAACATATTCCTACTCCTGTTGTTACACCAGTCTCCTTCCCACAGCCAGCCCTGGAGGGGGAAGACCAGGCATGCTGCAACACAAGTTTGTGATTACCTGATTGATATTTAGCAGTCACAGAAGATTCTGAATTTCTAGACCAACATCCAGAGCAGGTTGTAAGGCAGCATGGCAGAAGTGTCCCAAACTATATGGAAAATACCAGCCTCACTGCCATCCCTCGAGCAGCAGTTGCCCCTAGATTTTACATCAACATCTCTAAGAACCATCGATACTTATATGATAAGAGCTGTCTACCAGAAAAAAAAAAAAAAAGCTGAGTGGAAGTAAAAGAATGAAAAAAAAAAAAGACTAAATAAAAGATAACTGGGTTTGCTATCCCTAGACTAGATATGATAGATTTTAGACAAAACAGATAGACACTGTTCCAGATAAGGAGGGATTCTCAGACTATTAAAGGATTTATACTTCAGGAATATAGGAATGAGTATATGAAAGTTATGACCATACACACACCAAGCAATTGTGCCACTAAATACATGACACAAAAATTGACAGAGCTGAAGAGAAGAAAATAAAATTCAATAATACAAATTGAAGGCTACCATTCTACACTTTTCAGTCATTATCAGGAAAGTGGGCTGAGGATCTACCCAAAAAAAATGGGGAACTTAAACAGTACTCTAAGCCAATTGGACATTAGACATCTCTAGAACATTCTGCCCAGAAATAAGATAGTCATTTCTCTTAGTTGTATACAAAAGAATCTCCAAGATAAGTTATATGATAGGTTACTGAACAAGTCCTAATAAATTTTAAAAGTGCTTAAATAATAGTATGTTTTAAAAAAAAACATTGAAATTAAGCTACCAATCAATAAAAGAAGGAAATTGGGGGATTCACAAATGTATAAAGATTAATTGACATATTCCTGAACAACCAACATGTCAAAAAAAAAATCACTAGAAGTAGGAAAATACTTTGAGATGAGTGAAAACAAAAACACAGCTTTCCAAAACTGAAGAGAGGCTGTGAGAACAGTTGCTCAGAGCAACATCTGTGTTAAAACCAAGAAAGATTGCAAGCGAGTAACCTTACCCTCCACTTCTATTCAAAAAAGTAGAGCAAGCTGAGCCCAAGGAAGTCAAGGGAAGAAACGGTAATAACTAGAGGAGAGTAGAAGAGGCACAGGATTGCAAAGCAGAAAGAGGAAATTGATGGGACCCAGACTTTATTCATAGTCATGGTTGACATTAGCAAGCTTTAGTTACAATAATCACATTGATAAAAAAAAAGAAAACTCCCTCAGGGATAAGAGCACTACTGATTTTAAAGAAACTCAAGAATTGTCAGGGAAAACTATGGACCACTACATGCTGAGCAAACATACAACATGAATGAAAGGACCACATTTGTGAAACTGAGTCAGAACTAGAATGGAATATTGAATTGATTTAAACAAGGGATCGTGTTGGTAAGTACAGTTTTTCTTCACAAAGAAATCCCCAGGATCAGAATGGTTCACCGGTAAGTTCTGTCAGTCAATAAAAAATCACTGTCAGCCTCCTACAGCTTTAACAAAAAGTCAGAAAAGAAAATTTCCAGCTTATTCTGTGATACAATATTGGCAGACAACAATAAGATGAAAGAAAGACTTCGTATGGAAAGAAAACTACAGGTCAGTGCCTCTTGTGAAAACACACACAAGGGACCATTAAAAGCACGTTCTGCACCAGGCAGGGGTGGCGCACGCCTTTAATCCCAGCACTCAGGAGACAGAGGCTGGCGGATCTCTGTGAGTTCGAGCCCAGCCTGGTCTACAAGAGCTAGTTCCAGGACAGCCTCCAAAGCCACAGAGAAACCCTGCCTCGAAAAACAAACCATAACAAAAAAAGCATGTTCTGCTTCACCAAGGACCCTAGCTCTCAGTTTCCAGCATCCAAGTTGGGAAGCTCACCTCTAACTCCAGCTATAACAGAATCCAGGATCTCCTTCTGCTCTCACAGACACATATGTATACATAATTAAGAATAAGATAAATCTTTTTATGAAAATTTTGCAAAGAAACAGACATGAAAGTGCTCAAGAGTACACTAGCAAACTGGATCAAATCACTTATATAATGGAACTATGTATCACACCTAAATGGGGTTCATTATACCAGCCAACTAGAACATGAGACACCCCAGAGGGTATGGAAATGTAGGATATGTACTGCAACATAAAAATCCATTTGAAGAAATATTTGATAGACTCTAATGTTTACTCATGATAAAAAATACTCAACAATCTAGGAGTCATAGAGAAATTCCTCAATCTGATAAAGCTGATCTGTGAAAACCCCAGAGAGAATGTCACGCTTACTGCTGAAAGGCTTAATACTTGATCCTGAGGGCATGAACAAGACAAGAATGTCTGCTATCACCAGTTCTATTTAGCAGTGTACTGGACATGCATAATTAAGCATAAGACAAGGAAGGAGGGGGCACCCTATGATAAGGGAAGTAGGAACTGAATAAATGTACAGATAATATAAACTTGTACATGAAACTCCTTTTTTAAATCCTCTAATATGATTAAAACTGGTAAACAAGTTCATTGAGGTCCAGGGATCAACCTCACTATACAAAAGCAATTGGATGTCTATAAACTGTCAGTGAATAGTCTCACAATACAACTAAGAAAATAATTTTATGACACTTCAAAAAGAATACAATATGAGCTGGTGGTGGTGGTGGCACATGCCTGTAAATCAACCCAGAAAATAAAAAGAATGAATAGGCATAAATTTGACAAAAGAAAGGACCAGCAAGATGGCTCAGCAGATGAAGGGCATTTGTTTTTTTAGATTTTATTTTTTAATTAATTGTTTAAATTAAAAACAATCTTATTTTGCATGCCAATCCCAGTTCCGTCTCCCTCCCAACCTCCTATTCTTCCCACCATTTCCCCATACCACTCCTCAGAGAAGGTGAGGCTTCCCATGAGGGATCGTCAAGGTCTGTCACATCATTTGGGGCAGAACTTAGGCCCTCCCCCAATGTTTGTGTATCTAGGCTGAGAGAGTATCCCTCCATTGGGAATGGGCTCCAAAAAACAGTCCATGCTCTAGAAATAAATACTGGTTTCACTGCCAGAGGCCCCATAGACTGCCCAAGCCCCCCAGCTGACACCCACATTCAGGGGGTCTAGTTCAGTCTTATGCAGGTTCCCCAGCTGTCAATCTGGAGTCTGTAAGCTCCCATTTGCTCAGGTCAGCTGTTTTTGTGGGTTTCTCCAGCATGGTCTTGATCCCTTTGCTCATCACTCCTCCCTCTCTACAACTGGATTCCAGGAGTTTGTCTCGGTGCTTAGCTGTGAATCTCTGTTTCTGCTTCTATGAGCTACTGCTCCCTCTCTACAACTGGATTCCAGGAGTTTGGCTCGGTGCTTAGCTGTGAATCTCTGTTTCTGCTTCTATGAGCTACTAGATAAAAGACTCTATGATGACATTTAAGGTTTACAAAAAACAAAAAACAAGCAAACAAAACAATGACATTTTGAGATTCGCAAGCAAATGGATGGAACTAGAAGAAACCATCCTGAGTGAGGTAACCCAGTCACAGAAAGACGATTATGGTATGTACTCACTCATAAGTGAATATTAGACATAGAGCAAAAGATAACCAGGCTACAATCCACAACCCCAGAGAAGGTAGAAAACAAGGAAGGTCCTAAGACAGACATACATGGATCCCCAAGAAGGAGAAAGAGAGCTCCTGAATAAATTGGGAGAATGGGGGGGAGGGGGAGATAGGAGAAAGGGGAGGACATTTTTCTCTGAGCCGCACTTCCTGTGTTTGATCCCCAGAAGCTACAGGATGGAAATAGAGAGTCATTCCTGCAACTTATCTTCTGACTTCCATGTGCACATAGCTGCCATGTGCACACTCACGGGCACACACATAATAAATAAGTTCTTAATGTGAAAGAAATAAAAATGTCCTAAAAACTAAAA